GCGGTGAGCCCCGCCGGGACGGGCCGGGCCGGCGCCGGGAGACGTGAACATGTGGATACAACGGCTCCCGGGAAGCAGGTAGGGCAGGGCGGTGCGCGCCGCTCCGCGGAAGCGGCGGCGGTGGGGCTCCGGACTTCCATCGCGAACTTGTTCGGGCGGGGAGCGGCGGCGGGCGCGAATCGATCGCGCCCGGAGACTCGGAGGGAAGCGCTCGGGGAGCCGCCGCTCGCCTCCCTTCCCGGCTCCTTTCGTCGCCCCGCTACGTGAGATGGATCGTCCGCTTTTCTTTGCCCGTTCCCTGTGATCTGGCGGCTCCCGGACGGGCTGCCCCACCGCCCGGCTCTGCTCCCGGGGAAGCGAGGGGCCGGGGCACCCCGGACGCGTACGGCGCCCACGGACGGACGGATGTGTTTTGTAGATTAATCGAGAATTGCAAAGCGGAGGAGACGGAGGCAAAGTGTTATGTAACGCATTTTCATTACCGCCGCGAAGTCATCTGAGCCGAAATCTTGTTATTTTCGTGGCATTGTGTTTGGAGAGCGCTACTTACCCAGCCCCTGCCCTCTCCTTGCATGTCTGTCCTTAAAGCTGCAGGAATACCGATTTTTGTTTATTTTGACCGTGTTTCGGTAGAATACATTTAAAGCGGCAGTGTGTGAAGCACGTAAGGGTAAGGAAAGGGACGCTGCTGTGCGAGGTGCGCAGCTTTCTTTTCTCCCCAACCCAATTTTGTATCTGAGAAGTCCCATTCGGAACAATCGAGCGGTGGCGTGGGGCGCGGGTCAGGCAGCACTGCCTCCGCGGAGCTCCCGGTGCGTGCAGCTCTCAGCAGCACTGGGCTGTGCTTCCCGGGCGTGCAGAGCATCCCACTGCCCCACACAAGGCTATGGGGGTTGGAATACACAGCGTTCCCCAGGGAGTGAGACCAGGAGGTCTGCGTGGCCATGGGATGGACACATGGATGGATGGATGGATGGATGGATGGATGGATGGATGGAGCAGCCCTGTGCAGCACCTCGAGGGCCCCTCACCCTCCTGCTGCTCCCAGGGGTCCCTCAGAGCTGGAGCTCAGCAGGGTGCCCTGCTCGCTGTTGGGATGGGTGATGCCAAGGGTGCTTCTGCACAGCCCTTTGGAGTCGCTGGAGGCTTTGGCACTGGGCTCGAGCTTCGGATCTAAAGCCCTGGGAGGTGAAACTTGAGCTCAGATTTTCTCTCTGTGCTGAAGAATCGGGAGAGGCCATTGGGTTCTGTTGTACGTCTGTGTTTGCCGTCGGTTGTGTTCTGGCTTTTATCTGCTACAGGCAGTGCTGTCCTGTGCACCCACAGCCGTGGGCACAGCGGCTCCAACCCCATCCCCATGGCTGTGCCCACGCCGTGGGCTGGGGCTGCGGGTGGGGATGCGCTGCGTGGGGAAGGATGGGGAGTCTGAAGCTCTGCTGTGACCTTAGGAACTGCTCCTGGGCGAAGCACCTGAGACGCTTTTCAGGGTGCCTCCCAGTTTGGATTTCTTTTGTGGAAGATGAATAGAGCGGTGGAACCGGAGGGCTGTTTCCAGGGCTGGAGCCGGCAGAAGACTGTAATCTTAGAAATAGAGGACGCCCTCTGCTTTTTTATTTTTTGAGGAGTTTAGCCTTGGAAATGGGAGCTGCCGGCTGCTTCTCTGCTCCAATTGCCCGGTGAATTGCTTTGCTGCGTGCCCTGGATCCTCGCTGCCAGCCTGTCCTCCGCACCACCCCGTCAGCCTGCAGTCCCTCCGTGTTTTATTTTTAATAAGAGATAACTTTCCTGCTAACCTTGCCTGCTGCTCCCGCTTCTCTCTAACTCTAATTGCTCCTGGCTTTATTTCTGACATTTCCCATGCCGTTTCCCCTCATTTTCTCAAAGACAACCAGAAAAATAGCTTCGAGAGGAGCAGCAGACCTCGCCAGAGCCTGCTTCACCGTGTGCTGGATGGCACCGGGAGATGCTGCTGTGTGTGCTGCTCTTTCTGTATTGGATTCCTTCTGCCCCAGGGCAGTGGCAGCTCCGTGACCTTGCAGACGAGCCGTGCTCTCTTAAGCTGAGCAAAGCAGGACCTTCAGACCCCCATGCTGAAAATGCTTCTTTCCTTGCTTTCACCTACGGGAACTTTGCACAGAGCTGCGAGCAGGCTGGGTTCACAGCCTTACAGCTGAGCTCTGGGTCCTCTCTGCCCACGGGTGGGGGTGGCTGGGGGCCGTCTGCTGGCCCTGGAGCACACCCAGCAGCTGTGTGTGCATTGGGCTGTGTCAGTGCGTGCGTGCGGTGGCTGACGGCTGTGTGCCTGCTGACTCTCCTCCCATAGCTACAACTCTCCTATTTTAAACGATACGCCACGGTTTTTACAGCGTTCCGCTCCCGAGTGATTTGCAGCACGAGCAAAAAATATCGTTGGCCGTTTCTTCCTGATTGTATAAAGCAACTCATTAAAAGCACACATCCCTCTATGTTTGCGCCGAGGGAACTTTGTGGGCCCGATCATTGCTGCCAAAGCAAACATTTCCCGTGAATTCCACTCATCAGGTTCACGCTGTCAGATGTAGATGCAGCCGCACGTCAAAGATGCAAGCCTCGCAGTCTGGGAAGTAATGAGAGCAGCGAGCAGTGGGAGTTAATGGCCTCCACCGAGGAGCCCTTACTCATCCCGCAGCCACGCAGGGCTGAGCCGGCTGCTCCCGGGCGCAGTGATGGCCACGGAAATTCAGCCGGTGCCACCAGCACTTGGCAGCCGTGGTGACGCTGGGATGAAGGGCGCCGTTACGCAGCGCTCCGCACCTCGGCAGCAGTGGCTGCGCCGACGCTCAGCAGCCTCTTCCCTGGAGCATGGGGTAGTGGTGACAGCACTGCCGGGCACGTGGGGGCCTGGATGAGGCTGAACCGTGGCTCACCCCAAGCCGGGCTCCGTGGGGTTGCAGCAGGGCAGGTTGTGGGGCTGGGATGTGGGGACGTGTCTGTGTGCCCCCAGCAGCTCCACCAAGGCAGCGCCTGCGTCACCGCCGGTTGTGCCTCCGTTGTCATGCGGGTCCATGGGATGTGTGAAGCTGCTGCCCATCTGCTCGAGGCGTTCGGATGCTGCAGCCTGGGCTCGCTTTATGTAACAGTCATCTGCCAAAAATAAGGAATTGCTAAATTTTCTTCGGTGTGTAGAGTGTGGACTGAAAGTAGAGCGAGGTGCAGGGCGGCTCTGGGGGCGGCCCCATAGCCTGGTTGTTACCTGTCCTCATCCGAAAGGGCTCCCAGCACTGCTTCTTCGTATTTATAGCTCCGTGTGTGTACACAGGTTGACAGGGAGAGCTGCTACACAACAACTCTGTAGGGTGTGAATAATCTATGACTCCAGACACGTCTGAGGTTCATTATGAAAATATATGCGTGCTTAAGCCTTTAAAGATAGCTAATAGGGAGAGGACTGTGAGGAGGGATTAAGGCATCGGGATGCTGAGCTGGAGGAGCAGGAGCTGGGGCTGCACCTCGGGGCTGTGTCCATCGCTCTCATTAAGTGCTGGTGATGAGGGATTGGGCTGTGGTGATTCAGGCCCAGTGTGGTTTGGGTTTGGGACCAGAAGCTCTTCCATTGGGAGCTCCTTGCAGCCAAGTGTGTTGGGAGGAGGGGGCAGGCAGCAGCCTTGTCAGTGCTTTCCCATCCTCCTTCCAAATAGCGGCTGCTCCTTTCTTCAGGATGAGCCATTCACCATCGGGATGATTTCTTTCTCTTGAATAACACCCAAATCCGGACCTGAACTGCCTCTTTAAAAATGGAATTAAGGCTGATGTGAATATTTCCTCTGGCTCTTCTTACCGGGACCTGCAACTCCAGACTTTGATAGCTTACATAATTTCCTGTGATGGAGATGTACTTCATCTAATTTCACTTTGAAATACATTGATTAAATCAGAACTGCTGGGAGATTTAAACTGAGCCTCTGTGGCCTGAACTTAACTGTGGGAGGTTTACCTACCTTTATCCTTCAACATTAATTTGGTTTTGCGAGGATTCTTCATGAAATGAGGTTCTGTCTGGCACAGAACTGCTGCTGCTCTCTGGTTTTGTCAGTTCCTCTCTCCGGCCTTAGCAACCCACAATGAAACCTTCCTGTGGCATCAAAGTGTGGGGTTGGGTGCTGGTGGTGCTCCAGCCATGGGGCCACGCTGCCTTGTGCTTTCCCTGCCCCAGTCCAGGATATGGGGCTGGAGCACTCCCCTAGCTCTCTCCCATCTTTGCTTTCCAAGCTTCAGCCCCAGGACGTGACCCCAAGCACAGGAGGATGCAGCTCTTCTTCAAGTGATTCAGCCTTTCTGGTACCAAGCAATGGCCATAAAAGAAGCAGACATCAGGCTTGGCTGGAGATGAATGTGCAGTTCATGGAAATCAGCACCTCCAGGCACTGCCTGCCCAAAAGCACGGCCCTGCGCTCTGCTGTCTGCGGGGGAGAAGAAAGTGCATGGACTTCAGCTGGGAGAAACATGAAAACGAAGCTCATTGCTCACGGAAGGCTTCATTCTCAGCTCTGATGCGGGGAGAGGCAGAGCCCATGCTGTGAATTTACTGCTGGCCCGGGTCAGGATGAGGCGAGCAGCACTGAGCTCGGTGAAGCTTTCCTTCTGCTGAGCGGATGGGAGCGTTGCAAATCCCACAGCGCTCCGGGTTCATGTCTCAACATAAAGACTGAGTAAAAGCTGCCTTGAGAATAACATGTAGTCAGAGAGTGGGAACATGTTTCCTTCAAGAGAAACACAAGCATGGACCTTGGAGACGGAACAACCAGAGCTTGTCAGTGCTCACATGCCCTAATGTGGGAGAAGCCAAGGGACCCACCGTGTGCACGGCCCAGAGCACTGCGAGCAGCCGTGCTCCTTGCAGTGCTTTGCAGAGCATTGGTGCTGTCTCTCACCATCGTTCTGGCTCTACATCCGTCCTGCAGCGCCCTGGGACGCCCAGGAGAATCTCTCCTTGATAAACGCCCCAGCGGTGCTTTACGGCCCTATAAATAGGGAATGGGAATTGCATAATGGTGGCATCCTGGCTGTACATAAAGCCATTGTGGCTCCGTGTGGGAGAG